AATCGACAGCCCCAACTGTGTTGCTGATATTTGCATCAGCGGTCATCATTCATCGGGTTCAGCAACATATGAGACTTCCCATTTAAAGATGCTGACTAGAGGGCGCATCCCTGTAGATGGACTCCAAGCCTAATATACATGTAGTTCACTTGCACAAAACGTCCTCATCGAGGACAGGGCTTTTCTAAATAAAAGTGCAAAGTGTCTACTCATGCTTTAATATCACAGAGGAACAAAGGCTTGTCGGTGAGGGCGCTGTGAATGCGGGGGTCTGCATCAGCTTCCGATCTTATTGGCAGCTCTTTGTGACTTGTGAGGCAGTACCGTTTTCTCAGTTAAAAAAATATATTAAAAAAAAAGAGAATTAAAACATGACCTCATTCAACAGGCCTATAGACGAATTGGGGCACGTGACAGTTATTACTCTTGACCTATAGCTAGAAGGGGGCATCCGTGATAGAAGTGATAATAATAAACTCGGATTGGTCCAAAAGTCGATCTGGCCCGACTCATGTTTGACGGTGTGGACAGATCCCCTCCCCCACCCCCGCAAGCAATTGCCACCCCACCCCCCTTCCCGGCAAAAACTGTTAGTTGTTTAAATTGCAACACAATTGTCGAAAATGTCAGCCCTTATTCCGCGAATTTGATATAACAAAAAGGTTGAAGTTTACATAGAAATGTCGATTTCTTGTGGCCATCACCCGAATTGTTTTTGTTAGGTGACATGTCATGTATGCTGCATACTTATCATACTTGCCTATTTTCTGGGGGTTTTTTGTTTTGTAAACCATATCATCGTGTTGGTAATGAAGTTTATATTATTTTTTTGCCAGATTTTTATATTATTTTTGGCCAGATGTTTTTTCCAAGCGAATAGAGGCTGATGAGAATAGTTTGAAACCATGCAGCTTTGTAAGTAATAATAGCTTATAGCTATACATGTATTTATAGCTTCCGTGTTCAGATCAATTAGTTAATTAATATGCACATTCAATATCTGCTATGGCCTCTCGATCCAGTTGTTCATCAAATGTTGGCTAAATTCGTTGTAGTTCAGTGTCTTATCTCACTAAAGGCTAGTTATTTGGCTGAAAAAGGTAGTGAGACTATTCTGTTTAACTGTCAACTTTCTGCTGGTAGCAGCTGTCATATATTGCATTGTAAATTCAGGGACACCAAATAAATACATTGATTTTTTTTTACCGAAAAAAAAATCGATGTAGTTTGATAAATGTTACAGTTTGCGGTAAACAGCTTTAATATATTTAATCTCTGTACGATTAATTTTGCAGTTATATCATTTGTTTGGATTATTTTGCTTTAATTAGTTTTCTGACGCTGTATGCATGAGGCTTAATGTTTTTTAAGGAGTTGAAGTTAACCGTGTATTAAATTTCAATATTTTAGTAAAACTATTGTAAAAAGTGTAAAATACCCCTTGATTTAAGAGGTGACCATATCTATTTTTATCTTAAAAGTAAATTAATATGCCAATTAAATTCAATTTGGTTTTATAATTATATACGTACATAATTTACTTCCATTTTCAATCTCATCTTCATGAAGCCTATAGTTGTTTGCGTAGCTGAACATGTAATAATATAGCTGATCACTCAATCAAGTTTCCATAAGGCCAAAAAAAAAGTCTCCGGTTTCTGGTATGCGCGCGCGTCGCCGTAGCCATGCACGTCGGCAAAATGAAAACGGTTTTTTTTTTCAATGAAAGATGATGTCTCAAAACCGCCAAACTCACTGGTTTGACTGGAATCCTGCTGCTGCACAATTTTAACGTGTTTTTAGATTGGGTTATGGTCGAGAATAAGCTTTATGTGGCCTCTCTGGACTCCCATATATTTGCACTAAGTTTAGTCGGGCACCATTTGCAGTCATCAGCCGACATTTGAAGCAAAGAAATCAGGTAAAAAAAAACAAAAAGCCGCGTCGCAGCACCACTTTTTGGGCAAGCTCCATACCAGAAACCGGAGACTTTTTTGGGGGGCCTTCTGAGTTTATATACATTGATTGCTAGTTTGGACTAACACTCAAATATTTGCTTGTATTTCCTCTTACGATGCATTATCTGGTACAAAATGTCATCGCTTTCTGCCACAAATTTTTTTTTTTTTTAAACACCACTATTCACACATCGATACGTGTATAGTAACGATACAATAAAACTTTAAGTAAGAGAACTTTATCTTTCAATTCCGACTTTGATTTTGTTGCTTAATCTAATTAATGTTATTTTCTGGACCAACGTTCTATTTGTACACCACAGAAGACGGATTAACTCTTGTTTTCGTCCGAGAAAGGACACATGTTGTTTGACACAGCTTCCATGCGGCATTTCCTGAATCGTACGCCACTAAAACTGTATACCGCCCTCTTGTGGTCATAACGTGTAAAGCCGTACAATATCAGGATGACCGTTTTAGCCGAATTTCGGCTAAACTTGACATATTTTTCTTTAAACAATGAATTTTTGACAGAACATATAGCAGAATGATTTTTTTTAAGCAGATTTCTCTAGCAGAATTCTGTAAACTTGGGTGATTCTGACAAAAATAATAGCAAAATTGAAAATTGTTAAGCACATTTGTCGTGAAAAAGCTTTATTTTTTTTCCAAACCAACCCTTGAACAAATTGGCAGGCCATTCTAATCTCAGCGGCGAGGTCCCCTGACGTACTACATGTAAAGTACCATAGACTTCGGACATTGGAAGCTGGGGTACTCGCAGCAACTTTTTAAAATGTTATGCAAATTTTTCACATTTTTGAAAGGAATTTTTAAAGTAAATTATATTCCTTTTTTGTCTCACGAAATTCTAAAACATTTCCATGAGAGAATAAGTGTTTATAGAGTATTTCGTGTAATTCTGGGTGATTTGGCAGATTTTTATTAAATTTGACTGCAGATTTTTTAGGGGCATTTGGCAGAATTTTGCCATGACCTTACGGTCACTCTGCCGTTCATGATGTGATTTTTATTTGACATGTAGAAGATTTAAAAAAATGCATGATCCTTAAGTTTCATTTCTGCATGAAATGTGTCTTTCCCTATCCCATAACAGAATCAATGACAATCCATCATTCATGTCGAATATTCAGCATCTTGGTGTCAAATGTACATCCTCAATTGTCAAGATCCAAATTCCGTCAATTTTGTAGAATTCTTTCAATTTTGTAGTTGTAGTACACCGTGACTGGGGCTAGGTTGGCACGGACATCCAGGAATATTTACATTGGCTTATCTAGTTCCCAGACCTAGCGTACGTTCTTGAAACTCAATGTTTCTCGAGTCTGGAGTGCTGAATGGTAACACATAGCAACCGGTGAAAACTGGTGTGCAAATGAATAGATGTTATCATCAGATGACGTCAGCCCGTCCCACCTTAAAACTAGATTGTTCATCTTTGAGTTGTGTTTTATGTTGATTCATTTCCCTGTTGAGCAAAAGCAAACACCTCGGCTGCAGTGCAAACAGACTATTTTCACGAATTCCTCTTTCCCTAAAAGACTGCATTAGTGCATATCTCAAATCACACGTATTAAATTTGCATGCTCACGCGTATGTTCGTCTCCAACAAGATCCAACTGGCAAATTACACAGATGTTGAATTTAAGAATTGTGATCCTGGCTTAAAAGTTTTCAATTTAAAAAAAAAAAAAAAACAATTAGGCCAAAAAAAAAAAATACTCTGTTCTCTGGTCAGCGCGCGCGTCAATTTTAATCATGTGCGTCAACCTTTTTTTTTTTCAAATTAACACGGAAGCTACAACAGCGCCCTCTATTGCCGCGCTTTCTCAAATTTTTGTACCAAGGAGTATTCCTCCATGGGAGCACCAAGGAATGGGGAAATTGCACCAAGTCAAATGATAAAGGGCACCAAGGCAAATTATGGAGGACACCAATGTATAATGAGGACACAAACAAGCAAAATAGTACCCACCTTGTCTGTACAATACAACCTTGAAAAAAAAAAAAGCCAAAAGCCACCCCCCCCCCAAAAAAAAAACCGGTCGCCGCATCAATTCCGGAACTTCGGTCTGACTAGAGACCGACAATTTTTTTTTTTGGGCCTTTAATATCAAAGTTTTTTTACAAGTACCCCCCCCCCCCCCCCCCCCAAAGTAGATCCGGTCTGTCCAGCAGGTCGATTCCATGTCCAGACCTATGCTCCATCAGATTCGCCCAGGGGGCTCAAATGAAAATCAATTTGGTCTGAATTCCTTGAACACATCACAAAAGGTGCCTGAAAACTTGAGGTAACATATGTACATGCAGCCTTTTTTTCCACGTTTCTGTTGTGCTGATTTTCATTTCTTCTTTGAGCTCATTTCAATATTTTTTTCAAGAAGAACTGCCTTGGATTTTCAAAATCATCCAATCCTGAGTCTAGTCTAAGATGAGCAGTGCTGTATATTTCTGCGGGATCCTGGGATAGAAATCTGGGAGTCAGCAGCTCCGTTTCTTTGTTTTCCACGCGGGAGGAACTTCTCATAGTTTTTCAGAAATTAAAAATCTTGAGGAAGTTTCCACCCTCCATTTTGAATCGAAAGCGGGGACACATGTCAACACGAGCTCCAGAAAAACCACTAAAACTTTTATCCCAAATTTGTTGAGCGGAGGGAAGGATTCTCTGAGATTCCTTGATTTTCCAAGGGAAAACTCCTTCCAAATTTTCCCTTTCGTGTCCTTTGCCATCGTTTTGAGACTGTCCAAACCTTGAAAGAAAAGTTCAAAAATCAGGTTATGAGACATTATTTCCCTAGGAGAAAGAGTTCTCCTATGGTTTTAAATATGTCTTAGGATGGGGATTGGTCAGCAGATTTCTAAACATGACAGGATGGGACTAAGGACCCCGGACAGTAAATGTTAGCAGAACAGACAGGAAAACTTTGCCCAATTTTTTTTGCAATGTGTAGGCACAGAAAGAGTCTTTAGAATTACTTCCTGACCCCAACCAATAAAATAAAAAGACACGACAGTTGTTTGTTTTTTTGTTCTTAAAACAGAAAGCATATTAATGGGGTAAAAATATTAATCACTCCCGTCATGATCACCATGAATTCATTGTAATAAAACATTTGCTAATTCCGGGAAATTCTGTGCCGGCTGTGTGTTGCACACAATGTCATTAGTTAAAGCATACAAGACAGTCATCACTAAAAACCAAACCACAAACGTCGCCAAGCATGCAATCTAAAAGCAGAATTGATATATATATACATCGGTCACTTACACTGCAATACATTACGTGATTTAAAAAAAAATTGAATAAGAAATACACATTAAAATTGGAGAGGGCATGTTTGAATCAAAAATTCAAAAACAAAACACACCTGTATAAAAAAAAATCACATTGAATGAAAGAACTTTAAATGAGCAAAATACAAATAGTTCACAAGGGTCAAGTTTTCACTCTGGAACTATCAAGAGGCCATTATGCCACTTGTACAATCCACACACATTGGATTTTGTTCAGAAAAGTGCCCCTGAAAAAAGGGGGATTTCTTTTCATTCATATAGCCAAGTTCCAAGGATGTACATGTACATGTACCCAAACATTTTTGAAAGGTTAACTAAACACGATTCAAACATGCCCAAACAACACCGACAGTTAAATCTCATACCATCATATCCATCCACGCTTTCGTCCAAAACTATCCATCCTGTGGAAAAATCCTGATCACTTTCCAAGTTTGATCCAAATCCCCGTCTGAAATCCATTGTTCCAAAAAAGAAAAATCCAAAAAAAGCTGCTCCAAAATCTGAGCCTTCTTTTCCAGTTTCGTCATGATTTTTTTCCGAGTTTTGCTTTTTTTTTCTTATCCTTTTTTCCTGTACTCCTCGATTCCAGTGCTTATCCTAAGGAATCCGAGTTTCAGTAAGTCCGTCCTTAGTCCTTACGACACTGAGAATATTGAAAAGACACAAGAAGATGTTAGATCTAACATGTGTCATGATGAGTACGCAATGAAATATTGACAAAACAGACAAATGTTGACACACAATACAGTAAATGGTTTCATAAAGTACAGAAAAGGTCTAAATACATTAGCTCTGCACAAGTGGGAATTATGTTCTTGAGATCTGGGCGTATTTCATAGGAACTCTTAAATATACATGTATTACTCAGCAAATCTATTTGTTTGGCTAAGAAGCGATCAGCAATCAAGGCTGTACGATAAGCATGCTCAGTATCAACTGCACATGCTGCAATGATTTGGGTTCACAGGTCATTTGGGATAATCGAACGCTCATTGAAGGCGCATGAACACGTAAAGAGACGCTCACACATGCTCGCGCATTAATTACGTGCAGAATGGTCGTTCGCATAACTGATAACATCGCAATTGCAAGACGCTTGACGCTTATCCAGAATGACCTTTGACCTGGACTTTTCTTCATCGAGATACAAACTGGCTTATCACGTAAATTGCCCTGAACTTATCAGGAATTTTTTTCTTTCAATTTTTTCGTGCTGAGCAAATATGTTTTTGCAGCTACATGTACATGTATACATATAAAAATGTACCCTGCTCAGTGTTTTTATGGAAAATATGTGCAGGTGTATTGTGTATGGAGTACATTATGCCACTATATGAAAAATTATTGATTCAGTCTCAATCAGAAGTAACTTATTTACCTATATAATGAGGAATATCCAGAATATTTGACTAATAACAAAACACAAATGTTTGAATGATGAAACAAATAACAATAGAGTATTTATGAAATTATGCGAGAATATGCAATCAATTTGAACATTTGTTGACAACATAGGTGAATAAATTTGAAAATACCCTTCGATAACTGAAGTAACCTTTAACAATGATACCATTTTCCAGGGGGAGGGCGGGAGGGGGGAGGGGGAATTGGAACTGATAAAATAAAAATCCCATACTTGTATATTGACTTTGCACGGTTCATACAATGCAGATTGCTTGTGGTATTTCTGAGCATTATTCTAAAAACTACAGTGTCTTGTTAAAACAATCTAGTCACTAACATAAAAATGTTAAACACTCCAAAATACTGATACCATCAGCTGAATCTTATCCAAGCCAAAAATATATACATGAACGAAGATGCGTTTGAGAACACTAACCCATTACCCACTTGTATGTTTTATATCAATCCATCTATGAATTGCTTTCAATTTATATGTTATCTTTAATGAAAAGACCCTAAGACAAAAAGGGAAGGGAAAACTCGTTACCTCACCATCTTCTGGGATTTAACAACGTTAAGTGCAAGCTCAAAATATGTTTTTAAAATATTTCAGCAGTAAAAGACTACACGCTAACCTTGTCTCAATTTTCTAATTTAACCTTACTCTTCCAAATCCAAGCCAGGAATAATGTGAACAATATATTGCATTCAGTTTTGAACTTCAAAAAAAAAATTGTCACGATTGTAGAAACAAATTGAACCCAAGTTCAGCAACCGATTTCACTAAACGATGCGATCCATTGCAACTCGAGTTACGAAGTGTAACACATCGCAACTCACGATGCGCCGTTCAATACATTTCACGAAACCTGCGATGTGCTGAATGCGTAGTAAGTTCCTTGACAACGCCTTAAGACACATCACAAGTTACGACGTGTCTAGTGGTCGTCACAAAATAAGAAAAGTCCTTTTCTTAGCCAGTTTTATGCCTTAAATATCACATAAACGAGATTACAATCCCGAGGCAATGTGTGTAAAGTTGTGTATAGAAAATTCATTGAATAATTATGAAATAGCCTGGAATATTGCAGTTAAAATTTCAAAGTAGCTACATGTACACAGTCCACTGAGAGCTTGTTTTCCTTTAAAATTGCATCACAAGGCCACCATTTTATTGATGTCTTAACAAATTTTGGGCGGAGACCGACGACTTTTGTTGAATATCAGACGACTATTTACTGTACGCTGACTAAAGACATAAAACAGTCACAGACTTGTGCTATAAATGCACCTACAACGCGTCGCACTTACGTGTTTCGTGAAATGGATTGCAGTACGCGTCACAGCTACGACGAATTGTAGAGATACAACACGTCACAGCGCTGCATCGTAAGTTTGATGAAATCGGGTGCAGAGCACAAAATCAATGACAACCTTTCATGAGCGTAAATAATGTCCCCTCTCTCCCTAAAAAAATTGAAACTCTGCAAGTGTTTAGTATGAAAGTGGTATAAATATCACATGCATTCTGATTGGGCAAGCACTTATGCTTACTTGTATTTCATGCTACTTGAATGAAAACCAACCTTGGTTTCCTTAGTCCTTGTGAAAACGAGGGTCCGCATCTCCGCGCAAATGGCAACTGCATCAGGTGTGTTCTGGATCTACTCTCGTCTCGTTGCTCGGACAAGTTTTAACGGGATCGGGAGCGGCTGTCGCGCCCCCTGGATCGAGAGCGTGAGCGCGAGTAGGAGCGACGCGACCGCTTGGGGCTGTAGGAGGAACGTCGGGGACTGCGCTTTGGGCTGTAGCGTCGGGGGGATCGGCTACGGGATCGACTGCGGCCACCCTTGTAGTCTGCTTTCACACGAATGTAGCATGTGTCACCCTGCATAGTCATTGAAATAAACAAAACATTACATCTTACTATAATTCCAGGAATCTCCGTCTGTCTGTCCGTCTATTAACTCCAGAACCGGGCACCGTATGAAGTTGAAAATCGGCGGGTGTATTGCTTGGGACCACAGTAGGTGCAGTGCCAAGTTTGAAGTGGTTCTCGAAAAAGATGCAAAAAAGCAGCATTTTCTGAAGCAAACGTGGCAGCTTAGAACATAACACCACGCACTGCCGTTCTTTTCAATTGTTTACGTCATGTTTAAGCTAAAGCGCGCGTGCTCAATATGACGCAAACAATGAAAAAAGGACGGGCACGCGCACTTGCATTGTAGGGCGATACCATTGTCCAGTATGGGTGAATAGCACTGCATACCATGTTTTCGTATGTACACGGGCACGTAATTTTTGCAGTCGACTGATCGACCATTGTAGGTGGTCGAACTTCAAACTTGGCACAAACTTTGACGTAAGTGTGCGTTCAACCTGTGAAAACAAGACCATTGAATCGCGTGCGTTGTTCAGTTGCACGAGCAGTTCTCAAAAACTCTGCAAGTATGCAACCTATACCAGCGGCAAAGCAATTTGCGTTTCCCGAACATGCACATTTTAGATGGGCACTGCACTAGTTTACTATAAAACAAAACAAAACCACAGAACAAGTATAAACAGGGGTAAGAGATTTAAGAAACGGGAGGGAGTTTATAAATGTAACTCCTGTGACGTCGTGTCACCCGTTATGTTAAAATGAGTGGCGGTGTAGTGAAACTGTGTGCATACTACAGCACTATGATATGCGCGTACCACCTTGAACCCTAACCACCCCAACCCTTCAGAATCCAACTGCATGTTTTGTTGGAATCTGTTGGAGTGAGTACTGCACTGGTAAACTCATTATGCTTTACATGGGGTTAGACATACCACCATAATCAGAGTCCAACAGTTTGGGTGTAGAGTTTACCATAACGGTGCAGGATTTTGCAAGAGTGAGAAAGGTTCCTAGTGAATCCCTCACAGGGGGTAAGGTGAAGGGTCAACGTAGGCACTTGGCATATAGTGCTGAATGTTGCTTTATACTGACATAAATGAACTCTACATGTATATATATGTATAGCGGTACTTTTGAGGTACTTTTGAGGTACCAAGCAGTATGGTAATGCATGTCCATCACAAGTCCATCCAGGGGCGAATCCAGAACACAATTTTGGGGGGGGCCCAAAAAAATTTGGTCCCCCCAAAAAGTGGGTCAACAAAATTACGGCGTGGGGTTTGGGGCCCGCTAATTTCTGACCACTTTAACCAATGTTTTTTTGAGGAAAGATGGTGGTGTACTCATTGCCTGCCTTTATTGCGGTGTCACAAAAAAAAAAAAAAATTGGTTTCGTTTGGGGGGGGGCATGGCCCCCTTTGCCCCCCCCCCCCCTGGATCCGCCCTTGAGCCCATCATCCAAGCATGCAACTGGAAAATTAGGGGAAAAACGAGGATATTCCAAACTACACAAGACTTTGTACAGTATTTTTCAATTTGTAATGGCATTCATGAGAAGTTAAAAAAAAAAACGAGGAAATCAGCGGATCTGAGGAAAAGTTGCATGCCTGATCATTATAAGCCCAGGGTTCCCACACCTTAGGGAAATCAAATTCCATGATTTTCCATGACTTTTCCATGACCAAATTATGAAAATCCATGACCTAGTTCATCAAACATGTCAAAATTCAGATCAAATCTGTAAGCATTCCTAATGGGGTTGTCACAATATCACAAGACAAACAAAATTGAAATCAAAATGCTCGTATCAGTGAAATTTGTCGCATTTTATCGGGTATCATAAATCAGATTTCAGATGCTTAATTATGAAAATTTGAAATAATTTGGTCCTCACAAAATTCCATGACTTTTCCCATGACTGTCATTTTTACAATTTCCAATGACTTTTCCAGACTGGAAATTGAAAATAAAATTCCATGACTTCTACAGGTTGCGGGAACCCGGCAAGTCTGATCACAAGTAAATCACAAGTCTTTTCTCGAGTCCAGTCACAAGTAACAAGGACAAACATGACAAAGGAATGCTTTTGTCACAGTAGACCTAAGACCTAGGCTCAGTTTCACGGCGCTGCCAAGCACAAAAATGTGCTTAGCACAAAAAAGTCTGGCTTTTAAAAGCAGGTTATCAGCCAAAACTCCATGTGATGTATACTGCTCGTGATTAGTATTCAGCTGTTGTTTGCTTAGCATGAAAATCACTTGGAGTTTTGGCTGGTAACCTGCTTTTATAGGCCAGATGTTTTTTGTGCTCAGCAAATTTTTGTGCTTAGCAGCGCCGTGAAATTGGGCCCTAATGACATCACGCTTTGTTATGTGCGCTTTCCTATGAGAGCCACGCATCCCACCGACCTCTCATAGGAAAGCGCACATGTAAACAAACTGTGACGTCATAAGATCTTAGGTCTATTATTAATAGCTTATGATGTGACTTGTGACTGGATTACTTGTGATGTACTCAACTACAACACTAGCACCAGACTACCAGTGTCTATCTTGATTTGCCATCACCTCATGTGAGCAGAACTTGCTGTCATCCAGGGTCTTGCAGGCATAACGCATGTCGTCCTCGGTCACATACTCCACAACACCAGTGCAGTCTCTGTGTACATCCGCGTAGCAGACGTCGCCAGCCTCGCGCATGTGGTCCTTCAAGTCTTGCCAACTGCCAGTGGAAGGTAGTCCTGAAGACACATTTAACGTCAACAGATTACATCCAAGTGATAATTCAAATTGTTCATTTTCACACAGAGGAACAACGCACTGAACACGGGAAGGCATAATATTATGAAGACAACCTCAATGCAATCCTTTGGTTTGCGCCATAAAAGAGCAAGAAAAAAATACCTTTTTGTTCAGTTATTAATGCAGTTTGCAGATTTTTATAAGGTAGCAAAATATTTTCATTGCAAGGATGATAATTTTTTCAGATTGTTAAAACAGGTAAGCACTGCAAAAAAATTACCAATACTAGTTATATAATTTAACCCAAAAGTTATCAAGTAAAGCGAGTAAAGGCCAAGAAAAAAATTGTGTTTACGGTAATGCCCTGAAAATAATCCAGGTTGGTACATGTAGGTAGAAAATATTGTGGAAAAAATGTTGCAACCTGACGCAACTTCAGCAGTTGTGTACAAAGTCTATGGAGAGTCAATAAAATTTTCTAAGTATTTCCTAACAAAATTGGAAATGTTTCTCAGTCCAAGATTCATGTCTTATCATCATTTTTGCAATGACTGACCTTCATTGAGATGATATACAAAATGTATGAAGAAAAAAGTGGCGTCAGGTTGCAACATTTTTTCCAATATTTTTAATTTTGTGATTTTGTTTATGTGTCTGTCTTCTATACTTACTTTGTTTACTTTATATTTCTAACAGTATTCTGTTTAATTACCATGTTTAATTGAGTAACTAATCATAACATACCACACAAACTTGCACAGGAAAAACTTTGTTTGAAACATACATTTCGGCCAAATATGGCATTAAAAAGTTTTGAGGCAAAAATCCAGGTAGGTCGGCATACTTTTAACACACAAATTTTAAATTGTTTATAAATAAAAATACACATATTTCATTTGTACAAACTTACTGAAGCAGGTTTAAAACCAAAAAAACTGGAAACAACTTCTTTAGGAGAACAATTTCACCGGTACCTGACACAATACACCTGTACTTGGATCTCCTGGGTGGGGGTCCCCCTCTTCTTCCACCACCACCGCCACTGCTGCCTCCACTGAAGCTCCCACGAGCACCGCTACTTCGTGGGCACTCCACTCGTAATGTGTAGCGATCGTAATCGTAGCCATTCCTGAAGTGAATGGCATCTTCTGCATCCCTTTATAACATTAACAATACATAATTTAGTTTTTTAAATATCAACTAAACCTTTGTGTTTGTGTTATAACATACACAAAATAAGCACCACACACTTTATTATTATTAATTTTTTTACAATTCTCTTAAGTTAACTCCTTGAATTTAGCTTTTTGCTGGCATTTTCAGAGCCCCGTCAAGAAATGTGTACATTATCCATGTAAAGTAAAAGTGGCACAAACCTAAACATTCACTGAGGTCATTTCAAAATTGTGTATTTTTTTTATTTGTTTGAGAATTTATAGACCAACAAATTTTGGCTGTCGAAGAAATTCAGTCCAAAATTCTCACACCCAGCAATGCCCAGTCCCACCTTTTATCGTCAAATTCGACGAAAGCGAACGGCGGCCCGACCTTGGGCATCTTCAGGTCAATATGCAATATTCTGCCGTACTTGAAAAACAAATCCTCGATGTCTCTTTCTCTGATATCGGGGGGTAAATTCCCGACATATATTCGGCCATCAGTCGGTGTGTCGCTGTGGCGCGACCCTCCGCCGCCGCCACGACCGTAGTACGCCATTGTTTGGCGGCTTCCTCAGCCTAGTTTGATCGTTCCCGTGTTCCTTTCTCAGTTTTCGATCCAATCAACTTTGCGGTTGAAGGTTCTCGTTTTAAGGAGATCTAAAATCAAAGATTTAAGATTTTAAAAATTCAGGGATATCTGTAGAGTAACAGTAGCGAAGCAAATTGTTCACAAAATGTTATTATCTGAGAAATAAACACAGAATTTTTCAATGTTGTGGTCCCGTTCACGTTAGTGCACGTACACATGGAGGATCAGGAAGGAATAGTACACACACGCGTTAAACAACATCTGGTTTACGCCGCTCTCATAGGATCCGCACTGTTTTGTTAATTCACAGGGTACTATGTGCGGAACCAGACCAATGAATTCCTGACGTCATAATATAATTTTGGTGCGCATGGCAGTTGTCATTTGTTACAAGGTACCGTATTTCGTTTCGAACAGACAGCAAATAGAAAACGAGCTATTTCTCCGTACAGCCAATAGGAAAGGCACATTTTTGCATATTTTATTACAAGCTACCGAGGCTTGTTACGGAAAGAACCAATCAGAACGCCATAATCGTGTTACCCTGGAGCTAGGGGGAGGCTGGGCACACACGAGGTGAACAAAAACAACAGGGGCGCCGGGTTATTTTTCGGCTACACAAGACATTTGGGGATTCGCAAACGGTCACGGAGCTGTGTTGAGTCGAAGTCGCAAATTTGAAGACAAACCTGGTACGTATTTCTGATAAAAATGTGCTGATATTCTGGTTGTAAGGTAGTGATCACGATAAATGTATTGCATGCCCGTGTTATACAAATGATAAAATCGTTACTTCCTTCTCAGAAATTCTTCGATGTTTGATTTGATTTCATTGACATTCTCTTTTTTTATCTCAAGTTAAATAGGCCTAAATTAAATTAAAATCTCAATTCTCATCGTTTCACTTTCAACATGTTGTTCACCATTGTGTCTGACAATGCCTGCTAAGTTTTTCAATGACATGAATAGCCTAGGCCTAAAACAGGTATGCCTACATAATGCATGTGGGACCGGCAGTTAATGTTATGTCACTTGTCAGCGCGTCTTCCAAAATGGTATAGGCCCCCTAATTAACCACCACCGACCCCCCGGCCCCTACATACAGTCCTCTCTCATGCCGGTGATTCGGCAAACATTCGTGTTTTGACCAATCGGACTGCGGCAACGAAATTTGTGCACGGTGGGTCCGGAATTTCCATAACATAGATCATGGAGCTAGCTATGCAAGATGGACCGTTGCCGTTGCCAAGGGAGCGGCGCTTGACTGAACACTAAGAAAGGACCCAGGCCATTTGAGTTATCACTATGTCAGTGCAATGACCGGTATTTCAAAGCAAAGGCACTCTGTGGTTTAGAATTCAAGACCTGAATTTGCAACACAATCATGCCCGAGAAAAAAAACTCCAACTCGCTATATCCATGGAGGAATGCTATATCTCTATAGCTGTTGACGCAGGCTGGCCACACCCGATAATACTGACAGTTAGTATAGTGCTTGCATAAGACGTGGAAAACGTCTTACTCATATTCGCAGATGTGAGGATGATATTTGTTAGCAAACTGAAACTGTACGTTTCGATGAAAGTTTGAAACTATGTCGAAGAAACACGATTACGTTTGGAATGTTCCAGCTGAGAAGAATTACACTCTAAGTTATGGATGAGCACAAGCCAGCTGGCAATACCGCTTTCTACCTTAGGCATCCTGAGCATTGATTTTGGTGTCACGTTTCATAAATATTGTTTGGCTAGGCTCCAATATTGATTGCCACTTGACTAAAATAGATGGATATGTTGCTGTTGAGCTTGTATGGCTTATTAAAATAAATCTAAATTTTATGAAACCGAAACCTTTTTCCCTCTTTCTATATCTGCAGCACCACCACAAAAAGTATCATCATGTCTGAGCGCAAAGCCGTGGTCAAGAACGCCGATATGGCGGAGGATGTCCAGCAGGACGCCATCGAGTGCGCCACCCAGGCCATGGAGAAGTTCAACGTTGAGAAGGACATCGCTGCCTTCATCAAGAAGGAGTTCGACAAGAAGTACAACCCCACCTGGCACTGCATTGTGGGAAGGAACTTCGGCAGCTACGTCACGCACGAGACCAAGCACTTCATCTACTTCTACCTGGGCCAAGTTGCTGTGCTGCTCTTCAAGTCGGGCTAGAAAACCTTTGTGGTACAAACGGTCGTCGGACATGAGCACTGATGTGACCGCCAAAACATTGTGCTCGCCATGCTGTTGATTAGTAAATGACTAACACGTGATTACGTGTGGCGCTGTAAATCTATAGCAATGCTTCGCCATGCTGAACCGTTTGTGCCCGCGTGATGCATGCAGTGGATTTTGCTGAAACATTATGTATACATGTACATATATAATTATATGTACCCACCATTCGTCGCAGAGGGTTAAAGTTTCAAGTCTGTAGTATATAAAAAAAAAAACCAGATAGAAAGCCTTCTATTTCATGTTTCTGGTGAGCAAGTTAACCAAAGACATCTCATATACAGATACCATTGTGATATGAATGCTGATCATAGTTCACACTTTGAAATAGCTTGTTCTTTCATCAGGGCATTTTGAACCAAAAACACAATTACTAATGTTAAAAGCTACCAATTACATGTCTTTATATTCGTCCATACTTGTATTCAGTATTTACTAATATAATATATATAATTATTGTGTTTTTGTTTTGCTTTGAGTGGCCTTGTGGTGCTAGAAAACGTTGATCATTACCATCACTCATTATTACATGTATCCAATCTTGAACTATCTAGTCAGAGTCACAGAATATGCAAGATACATACGCCACCCCAGTAGGTCCGATCTCGCACGCAGTAGCACTTCCCTGTGCGTGTTTACCTAAATTAACAAGTTTTTGATGATGTCGTTCGTAATTCTGATGTCGATCTTAATCCTGTTACCGCGAAGAAATACATAGGCCCTACGTAGAATGTTCCACCAAAGATTATGTTTATTCAAGCAGGTTTTAAATACTCAATAAAAGCTAACGTTTTGTAAGAAAAAGTCACTGCAGCTTTTCACGCGTCTCTTATACTTTGACATAAAGTTCATGCATGTTCTTAAATTGTAATTTTAATGTTAATCTTCAGTCAACCCTACCCCCCCCCCCAGAATGGACTGTCCCTCTGCTGCTTATCCTTGCTAAGAATATATGAAGAAATAAATCTATCCAACGTAATCCAGCTCGATGATCCAAAATAAGAAATAGGCCTAGGCCTACGTGTGCTATACATGTACTTGGGTGACTCGGACTTCCTTAAAGTGGAAATTAAGAAGTGTCTTGCATTGAAGTTGAATTTTGGGTGTTTGGCTTATCAAGCCAACAACAATAGCCTAGACCTGGGAGTGGGATATAATGACGTAACACTCTTGTACATTCTTGATCTTGTGGGAGCTTGATGGCCCTCGTCCTCATCTGGTATTAGAAAGCGCACATGTATTTTTAATAACAAGCGTGATTATTGTTTCAGGCTTATTAACAGAAACGTTGTTTTAACGAGCAATGGGTTATGACTCGGGGAGGGTCCAGCTTTCCAGAAACGGGGGGGGGGGGGTAGAGTCTACCCTGCGAGTGTGTGCGGGCCATTTTTCCCCCAAACGACATCCGCATGGCGTTTTGGACTTCTCTTAAAACATGAAAAAAATACTGGTATATAAAATTAGGAAACAAGAAATGAATTCAAACGTTATGAAATTCGGACTTCATTTCCCTTTAAAAAAAAAAGCCTATTGGGAAAAAAATAGGGTAAAATGGTGTTTCGAACCAAAACAAACCCACGTTTCTACCGACTGAGCTATCGAACTGCTCGCAAATCATGGAAATGCGTGCTATTGGTAATCTACGTACGTATCATAAATGTGTCGTATAGAGAGGGCGCTCAACAGCCATGTAATGCCGATGTTGTTTATAGGGGACAAATACGTCCGGGCATTTTGAAATCTGCGATGTTTTCTCCTGCATTAGGAGGCAATACAGTGTATTGAAAGAATAAATTCAGGAACTATATAGCATCCCATTTATTATTTTAGGCGCCATTTTACTAGTTTCACATCGGCGGCTTGGGGGGGTTGAAGCATTCAGACCACATATTTAGCGCAGCTAGCACGTTAAAGCGACCGCCGTGGAATATAAGCTAGGCCTATAGTAAAAAGTTATTTTTCCGAAATAGGTGACATACAAGGTGAGTCAAAAAGAAAGTTACCCAAATTAACGATTTTCTATCTTAAAAAGCCATCAAATATGAAACACCAAGGAAGTAGGCCTATATCTGAAAAGGGAAAGAATGTTGCATCCTGACGCTACTTTCGAAACAAAAAGGACATTTTTGCCATTACCTTGTACCTCAGAGAGTATACTTTCATGTGAGTACTGTAAGGAGTTATATGTTGAAAAGTCTTTAAGAGAGATTTGTAGGCGAATGTGTGGCCAACTTAGTGAATATTTACATGTCCTGCATGTTGACGCCCTCAACCGACGTGTGACAAATTCACTAAGTTGGCCATACATAAATTATTTACTTGCCTACAAATCTCTGTTAAAGACTTTGTCAACATATTCTTTACAGTTCTCACATGAAGGTATATACTCTCTGAGGTACAAGAAAAAAATGTCTTTTTTTCTGATTCGAAAGTAGCGTCAGGTTGCAACATTTTTCCCTGAAAAGAGCATCTTCTTCCACTCATTATCAACTTTAAAAAAGGAATTACTAAAATTGATACAATAAGATGCACTTTATCCCTTTATGTTTTTTGTGTGAAATGGAGCAAGCCAAATATTTTTAAATATCCTTGCTTATCACATTAAGATGCACTTTATCCCTTTATGTTTTTTGTGTGAAATGGAGCAAGCCAAATATTTTTAAAATATTTTTTAAATAGCCTTGCTTATCACAAAATTGCCAGTGATCTGTCAGATTGACGCACCTCGATCCAACTGACACATCAAGCCGCATACAGTCTGTTCAATTATTATACATGTAGTAGAAGACGGAATGTCCCGACATAAACAAGTACACATCCATGCAGTGCAGTCCCTTTGTCATAATATTATAGTACTGTTCATGTTTATGTCCAGACAAATCAAACGCATGGCCATGGGCTCATTTTTTCTCAATGCAAACAATCAAGTCGGCAAGGTTACCGTGACGGTATCTATATTTTTTTTTAGAAGGCAAGATCTTCGTGTATCAGATTAAATACTAATGTCTGAATCAATATTGCAAAGCGCAGGGTAATAGATGTTTAAATCATGCACAGACTTCAAAAATATTCACCAGACGGGTCCATCTAACCGATGACTTTCGTCTGTTACTCAGTGGCGTAGCTAGGATTTTTTTTAGTTGGGGGAGGGGCACAGGGGGTATCAGAATATCATGGGGGGGGGCACATATCGCAAACGTCCTATTGCAGTCTTTCCCAGTTGGGCCCCATAAAGCCTCGCTATGTAAACGCAGATGTATTTTTTAATGGATTTGCGTGAACTTACTTCCTCCTTGGTGGTTCGACTCCCTCTATTGCCCTGACACAAGCGTTAGAAAGGATGATCAAATCGGGACATTGCATATCTGCTCGTTCCACTGATATTTCACTATCCTGAAAACAAAAACAAAATTGTATCTGTACAAAAGTTTGACCATAATGCTAAATATTATAAATATTATATCCGACTTTTTAATGGTTTTGACTTGAGTTGTTTTTTCAAAGTTCCAGGAGAATTCGTATACTCCGATGGTCGAGGGATCATACTGAATCACATTGGAGCTCCTGGTGCCCGCTAACCCAAGCACACCATTCAATAACAACCTATATGGGTTTTTCTATAAATTAGGGGTCCAAAGTGGGACGCATTAAAAGGTCTCGAAAACTTTAAGTTATTTTATTTATGGTCAATCTTGCTTTTCATAATATGTATTTACTTCCATCAAGATGGTAACGCACAAGCCTTTTCAACAGAAAGGAGATCAACTTCATGTCATCTGGAATATTAAGAACACTAGGTTTTACACGTAACTGGGATACCACAGGACACCATGTTACGTGTGAAATATTACAGACGTCGTGTATTGTTTTGTATTTAGCATTGCTGCATTGTTGTTTTCTTATCCTTATATTTAATGGACAGAATTTGAATACCAAGGAAAAGTAAGCAATTTGACAATGAAATAATAATAAAAGAACATTTGTAAAGCGCCGGTATCCGCCTAAAAAAGGCGCTCATGGCGCTCGAGGAGAAAGTCAAGTTAGGATTGTGTGTTGTGAGAGTAAGCTTGTTTGTACAGGTGAAATTTTATGTTTGTCTTAAATGTTGTGATGGATGGAGATGATTTGATAGCCAGAGGGATTTGGTTCCACACTCGGGCTGATGCTGCAGTAAAGGATCTGTCACCCCAAAGAGTGGAGGTCCTGGGCTCGTGAAGCATCATGAGCTCACTGGAGCGGAGTCCGGTGCGTGCTGTTGAGTACGGGTGGATGAGGTCGATGAGATACTCCGGCGCATTGTTGTGGAGGATTTTGAACACGAATAGGCCAAGTTTGTATTTGATTCTGTATAATACTGGAAGCCAGTGGAGATCTGCTAGTACAGGAGTGATGTGAGAATGTTTACTAGTGAGAGAGATTAGTCTGGCACTGATGTTTTGTAGTCGCTGCAAAGTTGATTTAGGTTAATGCCATACAATAGTGAATTGCCCATGTCAATTTTGGATGTGATGAAAGCGTGAACAAGTATTTCAGTTGTGTGTTTGTCAAGATATTTTCGTATGTGTCCGATGTTACGGATCGACATGCAGACTGATCTAGAGATTGATGTAAGGTGAGGTTCCATGGATAGAGATGAATCAAAGATAATGCCGAGATTTCTAACTTGATTTGATGGCATGATGGTTGAATCACCAACCCTTATGGATGGAACATGAACTTTGCACGATTGCTGCTTTGAACCTATGATGATAAATTCGGTCTTTTCATCGTTGAATTTGAGCCAGTTGTGAGTCATCCAAGAACGTACGTCATCAATGCATGTTTCCATCTGCTGGATTGCTGAATCAACATTGTGTTGTTGAGGGTCTACTGACATATATAATTGGGTATCATCTGCATAACAATGATAGGATAGACCATGCTTTCGAATGATTTCACCAAGTGGCATTGTATACTGTATATCATTAAGGTATGATTTAAACCAGTCTAATGCAACTCCATCTATCCCAATACGAGTGTTGAGGCGGCTGAATAATGTGGGATGGTCAACTGTATCAAAAGCTGCTGATAGGTCGAGCAACACGAGCAATGATATCTTGCGCTTGTCCATAGCCTGCAACAGGTCATTTTGGATTTTGAGGGTGGCAGACTCGACGCTGTGATTAGCACGGAAGGCAGATTGATGCGGGTCATGTAGATTGTTCTCAATTAAGAAAGATGAGAGTTGCATTAAGACTACCCTCTCAAGGGTTTTACTCAAAAGGGAAAGATTCGACACTGGTCTGTAATTCTTCATTTCCTCTTTGTTTAGATGCGGCTTCTTTAAAAGAGGTCGTATCTGAGCAACTTTCATATCATCCGGTACATCACCAAACAGTAAACTGTCATTAATGATGCCATGCAGTGTCATTAATGATACCAGTGAAAACCGGCACAAGGGAAGCAATGAAAGACACTTGGTTACGTCTCGATAGTCCGAAGTACCATTGGTCCGACGCAGTGGCGCACCCAGGATTTGGTTTGGGGGGGGGGCTCAAAAAATCTTTTTACAAATTTGTTAACAGTTGAATTTTTTACAAAAAAGTTTGCCCAAAGTTTTTGGCCGCAGAAAAAAATTGGGTTTTTTTAGGGGCGGTCTATTTTGACGTTGGTGGCGCCACTTACACCCCTATTATACTACTCGAAAACAGGCCACATTCATCTCACCAAGGCCAAATCGTGGGGCTATAAAAAAAAAAAAAAAAAAACAATTGACAACCTCTTGGGGCGGGGCTCAAACCCCCCAAGCGCCCCCCCCCCCTTGGGTGC